TACAATTCTTGGCACTAAAATAAGACAGCTATTTCTCAAACAAATCTTCACAAAAAGAAGACACTTCTTGACATGATAAACAATGTCCTTGACAACAACTTCAAGAAGACTTTCTGTGACGGTTTCTTCTGATGACACACAATATAGGTTGATGGAAACTTACCAAGGCACAAATGTGAAAAAGCAACTGGTGATAGGAGTGTGTGAAGCAATGCTGTCTACATACCCAGCTGCTTTGTGATGATTTGGACCAGCTCAGATATATATCTCCTAAACTTGTAATACTGAATACATGAGTGGATAAGCGTCACATATCCCCCCTTGAATATCCCATCTTTCATCTGAGCTTCTGACATTTATCAATCAGCAGTGAAGTTAAGATAAGCAGGGAAGGGGCGCATGGGTGGCTCAGTTGGTTAAGCTACTGCCTTCAGCTCAGGTCATGATCCTGCAGTCCCGGGATGGAGTCAGGGAATCTGCTTCTCCCGCTGACCCTCCCCCTTCTCGTGTGCTCTCTCTCAAATAAATAAAATCTTTAAACGATAAGCAGGGAAGTTACATGTGTGGAGGACAGCTATCTTCCCTAAGTTGAGTATGAATCCATTTTAGCTAGGGGAAGAGATAATGACCTTTTATGAATGCTGAGAAGCTTATCCAGGACTAATAGCTGAAAAGATGATCATGCTACCTCCGTCATGAATACCTACTATTAGAGCTCTTAACAATCCTTAGAAATGATACTGAACCTGCTCCAAAAGAATGCAACTGAAAATGTTGATCAAAGACCAAACCCAAAGTTCTGCCACACCCAGCATGACTAAAAGAGCTTTAGCTAAAAATATAATCACTGTAGCCAAGGTATGAACAGTCTCATGAGGCATACTCAAGCAAATAGTAACAAGGAAAGTAAGTCACTCAATTTGAAGTTCTTTAAAGGATCATATTGCCAATCATACTAACATTTTACGAATCTGCAGTTCACCCACCAAGTTCAAACATAGGAAGAGACAATTTTTCTGATTATTCATCAACTAAAATGTTAAGTTCAGAGTGCTAAAGCCCACTTACTTACCCGAGGCCTCTGGATGCCTTTTTTTTTTTTTTTTAACACATGATAAATTTACTTATCTGCTTTCCTAGTTCACAGCCAATTGTAGTAAGCACGTGAGGATAGGAAGCACAAAGGAAAGAGCTGCTAGAAACAGGCAGAGTTGTAAGAAATACAGATAACTTGGTGGGAAGCAACAGTAGAATGCAAAAGCAGACAAAAAACTTTAAACACACAATCTTCTGGGGCCATGTCGCAAAAAGCTCTATGCATCTCAAGAGTCCTCAAGGGCAGCCACTGCATAGGACATATTCACAGAACCAGATTCAGAGTGAAGTCCTCAATAAAGATTCTATTATTCTTTAGAGAGTCTTTTTAAAGAAGGTAGAGAAATGTGTAATCCATTTTTAAAAGTGATTCACCCAAAATGTTTTAAATATTAATATTTATTGTGGCTTAAACACTTAAATTATAAGCTTCAGTTATACAGAAGATTGCACTCCACAACTAACGCTGAGTAGAGCACTATAGTTGATGGGAGAATTTTAAGCTTAACACAAACATTAATAACATGGAAAATAGAAGCACCTCATTCCCTAACTACACTGGAAAAATAAGGCCCTATTGTTACTTGAAATAACATTCAAATTATGAAATAATATCTTCACCTACAGAAAACCAAGAATAACTATGTACATCTTATTAGAAGTACTTTAATTTAGAAAACCATCATTTGTCTCCACTCATCACACTTTCTCCTTAAGTGGCTCTTGTTAATCCTTTCTATCCACAAGACAGGAAAATTATGACTGTGTGAGGAGTTTCTCTTAAGGAATTGAGGTAAAAATTTAACAAATGTTATATTAAAATCTGATTATGCATATATAAACTATATACTTTAATAACTTTCTCATAAAGCAATGTTGACCTACAGAAAGAGACTTTCCATTTTAATTCTCTTTGTCAACAGAAGTAAAATCAAAAGAATATGTAAGTTTTTCAATAAAATGTGGAGCTTAAAAATGACAGAAAAAATGACTAATGTACCTGATTTTCTATGGATGAAAAATAGAGATTTAAAAAAGCCTGCAGGACTTTAAAAATTAATTTTTCAAAATTCTAAATGGTAAAGAATATGCAGGGAAAATACTAGTTGGTACAAAGAGCCAAAATCAGTCTATGAATATTTTGGAGTTGAATGTGGAATATTTAGAGGCCTAAATGACCTACTTTCTCTCCACCACAATCTGTAAAAAAGCATGATAAAATAGTACTTACTAAGTACCATGCAAGTATTTTTAAGGCTACAATACATAAATGTTCAATAGAACAAAAACAAGAGATGAAAGAATTACATACATAATCACAATGAATCGAAATTAAATTCAATTCAGGTCCTGACTATCTTACCTAACCCAGCAACCCACTTCAAAAGTTCCACACCATAACAATACTGTTCTTGTACAAGGCTTCAAACCTAAAGAATTGCTTAGTTACATAATAAGGCTTTCAAACTAAGCTGAGAATATGCCTAAATTGTGTAAGGGGTAAAGAAAAGCATTATCGTATAAATATCATAGATACAGTAGAATGATATGAGGTGGTTGGGGGGTCATTTTGTTTTGATTTGCTTTGGTAAACTGTTCACAAGTTTTCTAGAGCATCAGTAGGGAAACATAAAATGGGAGACAAAGTTCAAAATGTTTTTCTTTAGAGAGAAAAAGGCACATACCTCATCTAGCTACCATTAAACATATGTCTACTATTACCCTGCTCATATTTGGGGAAATTCAAAAGAAAATATCAACACATTTTATTTGAAGTCTATTATTAGTTTTAGGGCTGTTATTGAAGGATACTAATGATGTAGGCTAAGATGATTTTACAGATGTGAAAACTAGATAATGAGATGTTTGCATGGCTTCTTAAAGAACACAGAACTCGTTAAGGACAAAGTAAACTTAGAACTCAAACTCTAAACCAACTTCTTCACAACTTAAATATCAAATCACCTCTAACTTGATATATAAAAATTAAAAAATGAATTCATTGAGAGACAAGGGTAAGATACCACAATTTGGTAACTCTTGAAAGGCAAAGAAACATAAATGCATAAATACTGATTTGTTCAGGCAGAGCGACTTAAAACATACAAATGGCCTAGAATGACTTTTTTCCCAAAAAGTAAAAGCCTTTTAGACAAAGCCTATCAAACAGATCCCATTACTATTGAGATGGATGATAATTTATATAAACCATCAACTCTTCATACATGAAGAACAGCCTTAGTAGTAAATCCACATAAATACACAAGTTGAAATCTAAGCCAGAAATTGAAATTTATTTTAGCTACAACACTAAATTTATGTGTAAATTATACCTGAGGTCAGCACTTATATTCATTTTGCAATAGAAAGCAATAATTATGCAAATAAAATTAATGAAAATACAGCAAGCCCGGGACAGCTGTCCACACAAATCAGTGTGATATGACTGAAATTTCTTAAACATAACTTAAAATGTTATTTAAATAAGATTGAGATACAAATCCCTTCTTCTGGCCTGCCTCAGATGAGGGAGCAGGTGAACATCAAGTAACCTAAAATCAGCCAGGACAAAAATGGAGAAGCAAGAGTACCCACCACTGAAATTATTCATTCAATAAATATTTGCTGAGCATCAGATGCTATACTGTGAAGAATCATTTAAAAAAAAAATTAAAAAGACAATTGAGGAAAAAACTGTCCTGTAAAGTTTAACTGTGAGGGAGCTTTTATGAAATATATTACCCCAAGAATGCTGGATCCTGCTTGAGATGATCTTTTAAAAAAATAAATAATCTTTAATATATGTAAAAGAAATCAGCTTTGATTATTGTTCTATTTTCCTAACTTAAAAAAGGAAGATTTTCCTGGATTTAAAAAAATTTAATACCTGTCTTCCTCAAAAGGTTGCATCCTAGACAGCACAAGTGGTAAATTAAACCAAGTCCACATTATTTTACTGTTTACAGCTCAAAGTGCCATACAGTTAGTGAGGCAGGTCTTCCTGCTATTTAGGCAAACATCTGTAATGGTCCAGGTTTAAAAAAAAAAAAAAAAAGTCCCTCAAAGTTATTGAATATAAGTCCTAGCATAAATATCTGTGCGCTGCGACAGACGCTTGACACATTTTTACACAAGAAGAAATACACAGAAATGGAAAAGGTGTCATCATTTCTTAATTCTTAGAGGATTACCGATGGTTGCTGCTGAGGTGTTTGGTGAAAAATCAGTTATTTCTGAATACAGATACTAATTATTCCCTTTATGTTTCCATATTTCCTAGAGTAAAGGAATACTACATTTATAATTAGAAACTCCTTAAGGAAAGGCAGACTTGGAATAAAACATTGACACGAAGACTAGGTATCCTCCACAAGTCCCACTCTTTATAACAACTGCAGAAACTGCACTAGCTCTGCAATTTAAAAGTGGAGAGAAAACACACACACACACGGTAGGCTTGTAGAAGACACTCAATACTGGTGGAATGAAATAACTGAATATATGCGTAAATAAGCCAAAACAAAAACAAAATGCATTCCGATTTTGAAGCAACACAGTAACGACTTTACCAAAAGCTGGCTGACAGCTTAATGAGCACTAAATGAAAGAGCTTTTCCTTCTTGTCCTCCTCTTACTCTGACACTGGAAGACACATTCAAAACAAATCCTCCCCCAGCCCCGCCCCAAGCCTTATCCTCGCTCATCTCTGAAACTGCCGGAAAGTCCGGGGCCTCGCGGTGCCCAGACCCGGGCCCCTCTCAGGGCGCTCGCGCCCGCGGACACGCCCGGTGCTGCAGAGCCTGGGGCCACGGCCCCCAGTCTGCGGGACCCCCAGTGGCTCACGCCCTCAACCCTCAGCCCTCGGCGCCGGCGGCCCCCTCCCCTCGCTGCGAGCCGCGCCGTACCTGCACACCGTGATGAGGTTCCTCCTCTCCACCGCAGCATTGCGGGCGCTCAGGCTCTTCTTGCCGCCGCCGCCCCCGCCGCGGCTCCCGCTCAGGCCCCCCAGGCTCCGGGAGGCCATGGCGGGCTGACCTCCGCGCCCCTTTTGTCTGCTGCGACCCCTCCCGCCCCCCACACCTGCTCCCCAATGCTCTCGCTCGTTTTGCGACCGTGGAGGCACTGGAGGGTCGTGGGGCAAGGAGCGGGGACCGACGGAGGGTGTGGAAGACCGCGGGGGAACTCGTACCGGGGCACTGACGGCTCGCGCTCCGCACCCAAGCTCCACACACACACACAGACACACTCACACACACTCACGCGCACACACGCACGCACCTCCCCCGCCCTCGCGCGCGCCGCCGACCGCAGGGCGGCGCGTGCGGGGCGGTGTCGGGCGCTCCCTGCTTCCCGAGGGACCTCGGCTGCCAGCACGCGCGCGTGCCCGCCGGCCCGCACGCCCTACCACCTGCCTTCGGCCGCCACTCGCGCCCCAGGCGCGACTGCTGCGGTGAGGCCACGGGCCTCGCGTGCGCAGCCCCGCCCTCCCTGCACCTATCAGGCCAACGCAGTCCACCTGGAGCCAATCGTGGCAAGCGAGGGGCGGGGCCGGCCGCGTGGCTCTTTAAAGTAACGTGCTCGAGCACCGCCCCGGCGCGTGGGCAGCTGTCAAGACGCCGGGCTCGCGCTCGCAGCCCGCGTGCCGCAAGCAGCCGGCACGCAGTGGAGCAGCGCTGCAGTTTGCACGGGGATTGTGGGATGCGTGGCGCCGGAGAGCTCCGGGAGGAATGCTGATCGTTGCCGGGAGCCCAGCTTTAACCGCTGGGATCTCTAGCTTTAGCGGCTGATCTTTTTTACGCCGGAAGCCTATTCTCAGGTCCACAGACCCAAAGAAGCAGCAGCCTGGCGCTCGCAACAGACCCAGGACTTGGCTCCCAGGAAAGGAGCAGGGTTCCTTTTGTCCTAACTGCCTCTGGTCTGGAAAACAGCCACAAATAGCCGGGGGAGGGAAACAGCCTGTAGAATATCCCCCTTGGGCGTCTGATGGTGGGGTTTCTTGACCGTCCACGCCACGTCGCTCCTGCCTTAGCCCCAGCACGTCCTGCAGACAGGACTGACCGCCCACGTGAGAACGAGCGCGGTGCTGTTGTGCACCCTTCTCCCGGCCTAGGCAGAGACCCCGGAACTGGGTGAGGAACAGTGAGTCTAGGGGCAGTTTGGGCCTTGGCTTCTCTGGGCTGCACCCGGAGAAGAGTGCCGCCCTGGTCGCGCGTGTTTGGAATCTAGCGCCCACTTTGCAACGCTTCTTCACCCTCCGGCCTTACCAGCAGGAAGGTCCTAGCCTCTGCCGCCTTCTCCCGCACTCACCTAAGTGGCCGTCTATCTCCCTGTGCTCGGATTTCAGAGTGAAACCCCTAACTACTGTCCCTGTGGAGCCTAGCATGGTACCCCGCATACAACAGGTTCTCAGTAAATGTTCGTTAACTGTAACTTGAAGTTACATTTAGCATTATTTTACTGTAATTTTACAATTTTGGTAGTTCCAAAATCCTTATTCCACCTCTGGTTTTGAAGCTTCTGTCAAAGAAGATCGTTATAGAACATACAGTTTAGTATAGATATCCTTGTATTTAGTGTATATTATACAAAGGAGGGGGCGCCTGGGTGGCTCAGTTGGTTAAGCGACTGCCTTCGGCTCAGGTCATGATCCTGGAGTCCCGGGATCGGGTCCCGCATCGGGCTCCCTGCTCGGCAGGGAGTCTGCTTCTCCCTCTGACCCTCCCCCCTCTCATGTGCTTTCTCTCATTCTCTCTCTCTCAAAATAAATAAATAAAATCTTTAAAAAAAAAAAAAAAAAAACAAAGGAGGGACTGTTGCTCTATGTTGAACGCTTAAAAAACAGTTTTGTATAATAAAGCTGTAGATGACTAATATTTGAGTTTGTAAAAAATTTTAAATCTCTTAAAATCATTATGGCAAAAACAGCCCCTTTCAGCTACTAAGTCGAATCATGGTAGAATAAAGATCTGTGTGGGGAAAAAAATAATTGTCTCAACTAACTTACTGCAATAAACATTAACACATTAAAATTAGAGAAAATAACTTAGACTTTAAACTTTCTCTTTCACAATAATAAAAGCAGGAGGGTTTTCTATGTCGGCGCACTTGTTTCCAAACATCTCTTGTCTTCTCCATGGTAACATGGACCCTTTAAGGAGAGTTGCTGTTCTAGAAGCTCCAATTAACTTGTTTCCTCTTGCTACACCAACAGTTTGAATTCAGAAGTAGCCATCAGGAAACAGATGCACTAGCTACAGAGGCAGTCTCTGTAAAGTATTTGCACTGGCAATGACAAATACGACTCAAATTGAAATTTTTGTGGTTTAAACGCAGATGAAAACTGCATAAGGAAAAGAGTGGAAAGCCATCAATTACCAAGAAAATTCCTAGACACCTATGCGGGTTTGTCCCGTGGGAGAGAGAAGACACACATCCTTCATACTTACCAAGAAGACAAAACCGGGGGTGCCTGGGTGGCTTAGTAGGTTAAGCATCTACGTTTGGCTCAGGTCGTGATCCCAGGGTCTTGGGATTCAGTCCTGCGTTGAGCTTGCTTCTCCCTCTGCATCCCTCTCTGTCTCTCATGAATAAATAAATAAAATCTTTAAAAAAAGAGACAAAACCAAGTGGTCATGTCAAATACAGAAGAGTAAGGTGTCATTATTCTCAAAATCGGCTTTCTAGTCTCAAGTACATTTTTTTAAGATTTTGGGTTTTTTTTTATTTTTTAAAGATTTTTATTTATTTATTTGACAGAGACACAGGGAGAGCAGGAACACAAGGAGGGGCAGAGGGAGAAGGAGAAGCAGGCTTCCCACGATCAGGGAGCCTGATTGGGGCTTGATCCCAGGATCCTGGGATCATGACCTGAGCTGAAGGCAGACGCTTAAAGACTAAGCCACCCAGGAGCCCCAAGAGTTTGTTTATTTAGTTGAGAGAGAGAATGTGAGAGAGGGAGAGCACAATCAGGGGGAGGGGCAGAGGGAGAGGGAGAAGCAGACTGCCCGCCCAGCAGGGAGCCGGACTGGGCCTTGATCCCAGAACCCTAGGATCGTGACCTGAGCCAAAAGCTGACGCTTAACCGACTGAGCCTCCCAGGCACACTCAGGTATATTTTCATGTTGTTTGTGCTATAAATTTATATTTATGACTGAAGACTTAGTAAAACTTCATCTTAGATGATTAGGTAATAGAGTTTTCAAATGCTACTTTTCAGGGGATTCAGTTGACATAGGTATTTGCTGAAAAAGATTTCTCATTAAGAAAGGCCATTTTTTTGTATGTACAGTGAGTCATTAAGGTGCCACATGGGGGCCTTATTTGATAACGGTTTTCCTTAATTGTCCTGAGCAATATGTCCAGGGTCTCCTTCTTTCTCTAGAAGACAAATCTGGAAATTATATTCACTACAAAGCATAATACTATTATAAAGCCACATGAGTTTTCACGCTACTTTTTCCACTTTTTCTGGCACCAGTGGCAGTTCTTTATTTCATTTATCTGAGCATTTGAACAAAGGTTATTTAGAGATGTAAAAAGACTCCCAAGAAAAATAATAAAAATAGTAGATGCCTAATTTAAATTATAAGAATGCTGTAGAACTGAATGCGCAGGCCATATTTATTCACCATTTTCCCAACCTCCTCTTTCTCCCCATCAAGAAAGACCGTATTTCAACGGTAACATATCCTCACATCTAAATAGCCTCAGTTCTAAAATGCTATAAGCAAGAGAGATTACCAAACCATTGTTTATTTTAATCGCAAAGAAGTAGCCTTTCTAAGCATGCCCAGACAGAAAAGATGGATAAATTTGAAGGCACAATATTTTTTAAAAGTCCACAAAGTGAGAGAAGGGCATGTGAAGACAAAAGCAGAGGTTAGAGAGGAGAGAAGACACTCACTGCTGGATTTGAAGATGGAGGGAGGGGGCCAGGAGCCAAGGAGTACAGGGGGACCATGGAAGTCGGAAAAACAGCCCTCACAAACAAATACCCTGGGTAATAGTGGAGACCGATGGGCCCAATCAGGCATGGAAGCAAGAACTCAGAGAAAACTTGACGGGGTAGCCCGGGAACATGGACTCCATGCTGCCAGGGCACTCCTGTGGAGGCCTCAGCCGTGCAGCGAGGATCAGCCACGTTTCATTCTCATAAAGCCTTGATATGGATGGAGGCACAGTTCAAGGCCGGAGCGTGTTGAGGGGATGAGGGGCCATCCCAAAGTGGAAGGCAGTGAGTGAAAAACTTAAAGTCCTTTGGCAGAACTGGCCATTGGCAGACCAGGTCTTTCTTCTCCTCAGACAACATCAGAGGAAGGGCCCGACAGTAAGGTGTGGTTGCCACAATTGTCTCAGGGTTTCCACATCCTGCTGAGGACTTCCTGCAAGAAAGCAGAGACTACTTTCCGCATGGCTTATGAGTCTCTCTGGTCTCTGAACTGTTTTCATTTGCCTCACGAGCCAGTCCTCAAAAATATTTATTGGATGAATACAATAAAAGAGCAAACGAACAAGTGAATAAATAGACAAGTTAAAAAGAACCAAATGTTGTCACAAAATATCACCATTTTTCTCAGCGTGGAGGTGCAGAGCTGGCAATGAGATGGAGATTGGAAAGGATCCCTTTTTTCTTTTAATCTCCCTACGAAGGACCTGAATAAACACATCCTCGCTACAGTCAGACATACTGGCAGGTGTGCTGGGGCTCAGAATAGAAAGGTGCGGCAGAGGGCTGTTGCGGCCGCTGTAATTGGCATGCAGGCAAGCGCTCCCAGCGCCTCTCCCAGCACATTAGAAATCTGAGGGAGTGGGTGCTAATAACCCATAATCAGTGTTGCATTTGCCAACAGCCAAAAGAAAAATGAACCTTTAAATGAGCGAGATTTGGCATCAATCAGTGATGTGACTTTAGTCAGGCAAAACCGACAGATTACTGAGTCAGACATCCAACTGTGAGAATTGTTCTCTACTGGGGTGAAGAATGCAAAAATGTGAATAAATGGTATTACTTACCCACCCAGGACTATAACTCACTGTGAAAAAAAATAGTCTATATTTGTTTTTAAATCTTCTTGAGTTCCTTTTTTAAGTTACGTTTTAGCAGAGCTTAATCTATTTTGTAACTCCAAGCCCCTTCACAGAAGTGTGTATTATTATATGCTGATGCTCGTTTCTTTCTTTTTTTTTTTTAAGATTTATTTATTTATTTGACAGAGAGAGACACAGTGAGAGCAAGAACACAAGCA